TCTAATTCTCTGACGCATTTTTTCTAAGCACTAAATACCGTTATTATTATTTCAATAAATGTCTAATCATTACTCTGAAGAGGTTGTCTCGGAAGAGGAGGACGAATTTGCAAGTGCTTCAGAAGGCGAAGATGCACCACCTCTTCCTGTTCAAATCGACGACAAGTCACAAAAGACGGCAACTGGAAAAGGTGCTGTCACATTGGATAGTCGAGAACAAGAAAAGGAATCAACATTCGACAAGAATGTTGAACAGCCTTTAACAGCGTCAACTCCAAATGCGCATACAACGTCAGCGGGCCAGCAAGGTAGGTCTATTTATGTCATGCGGAAGACGGGCGACGTTCATGTTTGAGATTCCATTTTGTCTTGACATTTCGTTACCCCAGAAACCTCGGGTTGGAGCTCTTGGGGGTCCTGGTTATCTTCTGCGGTTAGTACTGCCACTGAGGCTATCGTCATGGGGGATGTAGACAGTTTATACAATCAAGCGAACACGATAAGTAAGGTTTGCCACGAGACATTGTTGTTTTTGCCGTTTTATTTAGAGCAATTCTTGTATTTACCGTCCGTCGCTTTATAAGCTACGACTATTCGACATGTTGCCGCTGAACAAGTTGATAGAGTTTATGAAACACTCGATCCCGACTTTACAAACGACAACACGATTCGCGAATCAGCATCTAATGGTCAACCGAGTATCTCATCAGAAAATCATGGTTCCAAAGATAAGGTTAATCAAGAGGTCGAAGGACAGACTGGCGATGCTATCAGGGTTAGTTTGGAATTAATCGATTTTACACTGAAATTCTTTAATGCTAATCAACAAATTATTATCGCGCGTTTGCTACGATGATTTGTATTTACTTGTCTGTTTTTTTTAATTAAATTAATTTGTTTCTCTCGTTACTTGTCCATAGGATACCGCCGAAGTTCTTCTTTCGACGATTGATAAGACTTTTGACTTTGCATCAAATGTTCTGGGAAATGCCGTTTTGGTATGTCTATAAATATACTGTAAATGTAGAGTTTAAATAATCTGTTAACTGACGCTGTTATTTGTCATTAGGGTGGATATAACAAACTCTCAACAGAATCAGCAAAGCTTCAAGAACAGGTATATTAACAAAACATGATTTGTTTTTAATCCAGTAAACGTATTGATGATTACTTATATTTTTATAGATTCAAGTGGGCAGACTTTCTGAACAGCTTCAAGCAACCAGGCTTATTGAGCCTATTGGGAATCTTGCAGAGAGGGTAAGTGATTTACACGGCTTATGTATTACAGAATCAACATCTAGAATACAGCTAGTGTTTAGATAATATTTTCCATTAAAGAATACGATACTGAATCTAT